AAGCAGGCATATCCATACTTTCCGCGGGCGGAGTCACTAAACTCGGGGTAGTTTTGGGTGTATATAGTAGCCCCGCCATCCGTGGCGTGAATGGCCTGCTTGCGCCCTGCTTGGTGCCAGGTAAAGGGATGGCGAACCCGCGCGATCTGCGGGGAAGGGGTGGCCTCTCTCCCTTCGGGGCTCTCGGAGTGGCCTGGATGTAACCTTTCCTCCCTCTGGTTAGACGAGTGAATGCACGCTCCCTCCCCGAAGGTTTGCAAAGCCCTCATTTAAAATGCCATCTCCTCTGGAGGCCTTCTTAGCTTCAGGTCCTCCCACCGAGAGCGGACAAAAGCCGAGGAGGGGGCCTGTGGCGTGGCTAACTGTCCGAGGCTGAATTTTACGATTACACGGAAGCGCACGTAGGAGCCCTGCCCCTCCCAGGCTCTCCTCAGCATGCCAGCTTTTGCCGGGGCTGCTGCTTAATTTCAAATAGAAGCCCTTTTGTACCAGGCAGCTAAAGCAGGCGCAACGGATGGAAATTTGGCTGGGAAAAGTGCCCCTCCTCTTACATTTTATACGAACTGCGGGCCGTGACTGGTGGTGGAGGTGGGAGAAGAGAGAACCTGCTCTCAGGGAGCATTTATGTTATTGGAGTCCTGCCAGCGCCTCCGTCATTCTATGTCATCTTCATTAATGGGGAAGAAAAAGAACTTTGGCGCTTAATGTATCGGTGAACAGCTTTTGACCCCGCCTCGGAATGATGGCGGCAGCTTTGTTTCAGAGACCTCAAAAACGTAGTTTTGAAAGCAGCAGCAGGAAAAAAAAAAAAATCCTTATCTGACCATGTGATACGATCTGAAACTAGACACATGCCAGATAATGTCCCCTGTGCAGAAAGGAACGCGGCGGTGCTGTGTGGTTGTCTTGTATTATCTCTTTTCAGATAATTTCTCTCTTTCTTGAGCCTCAAAGTGCTCTTACTCCTTAGGTTCATTTTTTTTTTTTTCCTTGAAGAAACTCATCCTAGCAGACAAGCATATGGTTTATACCAAAGATTTTTAAGTCAAAGGACACACAGAGGAGTAGCAATTCACGGATCTATTTTGTAAGGACGTATGCAGATCATGGTTCCGGTAACACCTCTCTTTTGGCATTTTACTGTGTTTTGCTGGGATTAGACCAGATATTTGGGTGTAACATTGACTTGAGCCAATGCTTGCCAGCGATGCCTGGTCGCTGACATGTCACGCATTGTCTTGTACAATAGCACCTTTTTGTCTTTATGAATCTCGGGATTGTGAGGGGCACATTCCCGTTGTCCCCGGAGGGGAGCAAGGCCGCAGCGTGTCGGGAGAATTCCAGTCCAGTCAGTGTTTGTGGCACTATTTTCATTTGTAGACTTGGCATTTGTGATTTGAACCAGATGCCTTTTGAGTGTGTTTTTCCCCCCTTTTCCAGCATAGGAAGCGCTAGGTGGCGGTGTGAGTTAGCGCTACGGATGTGTCACCTTTGGAAACCCGAGTTGAGTTCAAATCTGGTGGACCTTCTTCCCTCGAGGGTTTTGAATTCTGCCAGCTCACATTTTACTTGGCACTGGCTATTCGTATTAGTTTCTCACTTTCAAAGGCCCTCAGACTGATTAAACTCCACAAAGCAACTAATAGAAAACAAAGCTCTGCAGGACATTTGGCCAGAAAGTCTCACCTAAGCAAGATAGGCAATCTGTTACCCTCCGACTTCAGATTAAAGCATCGACTGTGAGGTAGTTTTGTAAAATATGGGCGCCACGCAGAAGATTTTATAAAACCTCGGTGCATTTTTTTCATTCTTCCCTAACTTGGTATATATTAGTTGAAAGTAAGAGCAAGTATTGTTTTTATGAAAAAACTTCGTATCACCATCCAATGTGAGAATTAGACATAGGACTTGAAGTTTTCCTTTATTTCAGGTCATCCAGTAAAGTTTAGTTTTGGAAGATTTAGTGAACTCTCTAAATGGTCATTGGAAGGCTTAGAGCAGCAGCCTTTCAGGTTCTTTGTCACCAGAATGTGTTCATTTTCCCTTTCTCCATTTCTTCCTAACCAGAATTGTTTGAGGAGAAGAGATGCTGGTTTGTTGAATCAGTTGCAAGAACTTGACAAGCAGATAAGTGACCTGAGACTCGATGTAGAAAAGACATCTGAAGAGCACCTGGAGACAGACAGCCGGCCCAGCTCAGGTGAGTGTGTGCGCACAACCACAGCATCTACACGCAGGAGTTCTACCTGGGCCCCGAGCTTACCATTCCCAGCCCTGCAAATGGCAATGGAGTGTGTTTCCAGTGTAGAGAGGATAAAAAGGTCGTCTGCCTGCCATTCAGTCGTAGGAGAGGGAACTAAAACCAGACTACAACATTTTTAATAATGAGATTGATCTGACTGGAGTCCCCCGAGTTTAAAAAGAAAAGGTTCTATTCAAATTTCTGGAAGAGCGGTCCTCCTTTGAAATTTGAGAAAGTCAGAACTGGGCTAGAAAATTAGTCACACTTCAACTTCCTGAGACCACTTTGAAAGTTTTTTTTTTCTTTTAAACCATTTGGCTCCTTAAATAGATTTGTTTTCTCTTCAAGTTACTCTTTCTGAAATGCTCATGATAATGTTGGGGCTGTGATAGATCTAAGTCTCTTTCCTTGCACATCTTTAAAGGTTGGGTCAAGGGGGATCAATTTGACTTGTGAGAGTAACTTTGAAAGGTATCCATCGTTAGGAGCTCTTTGCTTTTTCTAAGGATTGCTTGAAATAAAACCATAAAATCAGGACACTAAGTCCAGCGAGCGAAAATTGCCCCCTCCCCCCCAAGTCTCCCATTCTTACCTTTTCTCGAAGATTATCCTTTTTTCCTTTTAAGCACAAATGTGTATTATTGCATGACATGATCCTAATTCCAAATGGTGTCTTTCTTTGTAGGGTTTTATGAGCTGAGTGATGGGGCTTCGGGATCCCTTTCCAATTCCTCTAACTCGGTCTTCAGTGAGTGTTTATCCAGTTGTCATTCCAGCACCTGCTTTTGCAGCCCCTTGGAGGCAACCTTGACTATCTCAGATAGTTGCCCCAAATCTGCAGGTAAGCCTTTTTAGAATTAATACACTTTTTTTTTTAATTGGAAGGGGTCAAAGATTCCTTAAAGGTTACGTAGCTTCAGCCCCCTTTTACTGATGAAAAACAAAGACACGGAGAATTCCACCGGCTTGCTGCCTTTAGTGCCCATAGTTGCATCTAGAACCAAGAAGACCTCTGTTCTGGTCCTCTTTGGGTGCCACTTGGCTTTATATTCACCTCATCCTTGGAAATCCTGTCCCGATATAAGTTTGGAGCTCTGTTTCTGAGCCTTTGCTTAACAGGCTTTGTTAGGCTTTAACTTGTTTGTTTTTTCTTTTGAAAACCACTTTGGATCTGTTTTTTTCTTTCTTTAATAATTCAAAGCTAAAGCTTACATTAAGTTAAATATATCTGTCAGCCTGGCCACAGGCTGCTTGGCACTTCAGGGAGCAGTGGCCCTTCCCTGTTCTCCAGAATGCTTTGTCTGAGGGCAGCTCTCCTTTTAGCAGGCGGGTGGGATGAGATCCCCTTAGGCCATGTGCCATTGTTTCTCATTTTGGGCTGTCCTTGCAGTTACCTCCGCAGAGACTCATGCTATTGTTGGTACTGGAAGAGTTTCTGCATTCCTGCTATGCATCACTGTACTGAAGAGTTTGTATACTTTTACCTCCTTTGGCTCCTCCCAGCAGTTCTGCAGGATGCAGGTGGTGTTAGCTCCATTTTATGTATCAGAAAATGAGGCCCAGTGAGGTTAGATTAGGTAAGTCGTTTAAGGCTAAATAGCTGGTGAGTGGCAAAGGCAGGATGCATGCTCTGGACTAACTGCCAGGTGCATGTTTTTCCATCACATCACACCCAGGGAATTCAGAAGTTGTGTTCAGCGTTTTCATTGAAAAGGGGAGAAATCTGGAGTTAGGTGCAATTTGTCAGAGGCTCCTCATCTGCTGAATGGCAGAGCTGTTGCTGAAACTCAGGACTCCTTCCTTAGTTCTGCTTTGTTTTGATTCCTCAAAAGAGCAGAGGAAATATGGAGAGTAGAGGAGCTGTAGGTGCTGGCACAAGTCGCTGCACTCTTGGTTTGTTTGTGTTCTCCACCTGGTCTAAGGCTGAATCTTCAGCTCAGGCAATGCAAACATAACACCAACAACTGAAGCTGCTAATTGGCTGGTGTCTCTGTATTTGTACAGGGTGCGTTGTCAGGAGCAATCATTTGGGGGAAGCAACAGATCAGTGTTATCTAGAGTGTCTGGGCCTCAAGTTCATTGGTAATTGCTTCCCTTCACTCTGCAGATCTGGTTTCAGAGGGGAACTTTAAAACCCATTAAAGGCACTTTGGTATAGGTTTTCCTCAAAGACAGACCCTCTCCCAAATGCTACATCTTCACATAATTGAGACAGTTGGGCTGGGTCTTGGGGGCTGGGATGTCTGTCTTGTTCCTTAACTCTTAAGTAGTGAAAAGGGAGAAATGGTAAAGTGTAGATGAATGTGGCTTTAAGCAAGGCAGATAGGCCTTAGGGTAGCAGAGGAGGGATGGGCAAGGATATTAGCAAGAGATGGTTCTCTTTACAATAAGCTACTTATTGGGAGTGGAAATGGAGGGAGGGAGTGGCCATGGCACTTTTATAATAATAATTTCTTTAAAAATTAACCATATTACTTCTGAATCTAGACTATATTTTTCCGGAAACTGCTAATTATCATTAAGGTTAATGGAGTTTTCCCTTAAAATTAACATAGAATCTGGCACATAGTAGGTTTTCAACATTGAATGAATAAGTATAATGGAGGACAAATTATATAATGATAAAAACTTTGATTTTTTTTCTCTAATTGAAGGTCATTTAAGGGGACTTGAAAGTTACAATATTCACCGAGATGAGAGAGCAAAATCGTTTAATTAAGCAAGAAAGCTTGATTTCATTGTATTTTGACATCTATATTTTTATGATGAGAACATTTATTCATTAATTCCACTACTCAATCTATTAAAGTGTTATCAAGAATTTCTTCTTATTTAAAAAATACTGTTTTTTATGTTAGTGTCTGGTTATTATTTAAATTTGATTAGTCTGTACTGAAATTTGATTAATTTCCCTGACCTTTCAATTGACAGTAATATTTGAACATATGTCATTAAGAATTAGGTCTAAAAAATACAAAATGAGAAGAAAGTCCATAGAAAATATAACTTATCTGAAGTATTTAAAAAAGAAGCCAGGAATAGAACACAGAGGGGAAAGTAGTCTAGAGAAAAAATGACTCAAAAACATTTATTTTTCCAGTTATAATACAGTGTACATATTTATTGAAAATTTAGAGAATAGAAAACAAAGGAGAAAGTTAACACCACTTGTTTTCTTACCACACTAAGATGCTACAATTAGCAGCTGGGTGTGCTTCATTTCAGACTTTTTTTTTTGCATCTATTCAATCTTAATAAAGTTATAATCATAGTTTGGTAGTATATCATGATTCTCACTAAACTTTAAAGTGTTTCCCCATATTACTTGATAATTTGAAAGCATTTTTGGCCTTGGCCAGATAGCTCATTTGGTTAGAGCAATGGTCGGCAAACTGCAGCTCGCGAGCCACATGCGGCTCTTTGGCCCCTTGAATGCGGCTCTTCCACAAAATACCACGTGCGGGTGCGCACATACAGTGGGATTGAAACTTCGTGGCCCATGCGCAGAAGTTGATTTTCAGAAAGGAGATAGACGAAACAAGTATACAAGATGAGTGTGGATGGGAGAGTTGGAAGGGGTCGACCTCAGCGAACGTACCTCAATCAGAATGAGGACGTTTTTAGCAAAGGCCAGCTTAGGAGTACCTAATTAAGTTAATAACAATGTACCTACCTATATAGTTTAAGTTTAAAAAATTTGGCTCTCAAAAGAAATTTCAATCGTTGTACTGTTGATATTTGGCTCTGTTGACTAATGAGTTTGCCGACCATTGGGTTAGAGCATCGTCCCGATTTGCCAAAGGTTGTGGATCTCCAGTCAGAGCACATACAAGAATCAACCAATGAATGCATAAATAAGTAGAACAACAAATCGATTCTCTCTCTCTTTCACCCTCTCCCTTCCTCTCTCTAATATCTATCTATCATCTATCTATCTATCTATCTATCTATATCTATCTATCTAGATAGATAGATATAGATATAGGTAGATAAAGCATTTTAAAAAATTTTTTTGTTTTATTGCTTAAAGTATTACAAAGAGTATTATATATGTCTCCTTTTTAGATAAAGCATTTTTAATGGCTGACTATTTTTCCTTCAGAGGCTACATCATATATTAAAATTTTCTTTGTTAAATATTTTCCCCCTCCTCCAGTAGTCTGCACTGTATGTAAACTAGTAGAGTAGCTCATGGAGTATTTGTTGATTCTTGGCGTTCTCTCTCTCCCCATGAATTTGTCCTCCTGGGAGTTGGCCAGGGTCAAGCTGGTGCTGGCCAGTTCACCTCTTCAGAGTGTACCTTTAAATGTCTTTCAGATCTCATAGGATGGTTGGACTGTACAGAAGGCCGCTGTGAAGAACAGGCCTCAGAGGCAGTTGGCTGTTTCCCCTCCACATCACAATTTAATCCCCTTGGTGTCATTGCAGATGTGAATCCCAAGTACCAGTGTGATCTGGTGTCTAAAAACGGGAATGATGTCTATCGCTATCCCAGTCCACTTCATGCTGTGGCCGTGCAGAGCCCAATGTTCCTCCTCTGCCTGACAGGCAGCCCGCTGAGGGAAGAGGAGAGGCTGGGCAACCCCACCAATGACATTTGTGTCGGATCTGAGCTGGACGCCGTCAAGTCGGAGGTGTCCTTACCGTCTCCAAGCAGGGTGTGGCCTGCTCCCCACCCCTCATCCAGCAAGAAAATGGATGGCTACATTCTGAGCCTGGTCCAGAAAAAAACACACCCTGTAAGGACCAACAAGCCAAGAACCAGTGTGAACGCGGACCCCACGAAGGGGCTTCTGAGGAATGGGAGCGTTTGTGTCCGAGTGACTGGGGGCGTCTCCCAGGGCAATCCTGGGAACCTTAAGAATTCCAAACAGGCGCCTCTGCCCACCAGCGGAGTTCCCTCTTTGGACCCTGGGACATTCTCCCCACCGAAGCAGTGGTCAAAAGAATCGAAGGCAGAGCAACTGGAAAGCAAGAGGGTGCCCTTGCCAGAGGGCTGCTCGCCCGGTGCCGCCCCTGAACTTCAAAGCAAGCATCCCCCCAAAAATGCCAAGCTAGCCTCCCAGGAGCACACCCGGGGCCCCACCACTGTGACCGCGGAGGCCCCCAAAGAAAGCAGCCACATCCCAGCCGCCTCTCCAAAAGAGAGCCCCGGGAGAGGCCTCGCCCCGCGGCAAGAGAGCAGAGTTGTCCCGCCACTGAAAAAGCCGGCGCAGAAAACCAGCCTGCAGGCGGCCCCTCCGGCCGCGCCCCCGCCTGCCCCGCCTGCACCCCCACCCTCAGCCTTCCCCGTGGAAGAGCGGCCTGCCCTGGATTTCAAAAGCGAGGGCTCTTCTTCTCAAAGCCTGGAAGAGGGGCCCCTGGTGAAGGCGCACTTCGTCCCTGCGCAGCAGCCGGGCGTCAGGGCGCACCGGGGCGCCCGGACCGCAGCTGCCCCCAGGGGCTCCGCCCTGAAGCACAGGGCGCAGGCCCTCCACGGCCCCGACGGCGCCTTGCCCACCGTGAGGGAGAAAACCCGGGCAGCCGGCAAGAAGTGTCGGTTCCCCGACGACCTGGATACAAATAAGAAACTCAGGAAGGTCTCCGCCAAAGGGCGGAGGAGTGGGGGCGGCCATGCCGAGGCGGGTCTTCCCAGCCGGCCGCTGGGGGCTGCACACCGGCCCGGGAGCCGGGCGCACGGCCACGGGCGCGAGGCGGTGGTAGCCAAGCCCAGGCACAAGCGCACCGACTCGCGGCGGTGGCGGTCGGCCGCCGAGATCTCCTACGAAGAAGCGCTGCGGCGCGCGCGGCGGGGCCGGCGGGAGGGCGCGGGGCTGTGCGCGGCCGCCGTGGCGCTGCCCTACGCCAGCCCCTACGCCTACGTGGCCAGCGACTCCGAGTACTCGGCCGAGTGCGAGTCCCTCTTCCACTCCACCGTGGTGGACACCAGCGAGGACGAGCAGAGCAACTACACCACCAACTGCTTCGGGGACAGCGAGTCCAGCGTGAGCGAGGGCGAGTTCGCGGGCGAGAGCACCAGCACCAGCGACTCGGAGGAGAGCGGGGGCCTCATCTGGTCCCAGTTCGTGCAGACGCTCCCCATTCAGGCGGTCGCGGCCCCAGACCTGCACAGCAACCCCACCAAGACCTTTGTCAAAATTAAGGCCTCCCACAACCTCAAGAAGAAAATCCTCCGCTTCCGGTCCGGCTCTTTGAAGCTGATGACGACCGTGTGAGTGGATCTTGTCGCGGGGGAAGGAAAGGTGGCGTCTTAGTAGTGTTGTTGTGTAATAATTTCATGGAATGTTTTCCCCTCTGTGAAGATGAAACCGAAGTAAATTAATGTCTCTGCTTCATTATGTATGGACACTAGTGCCTTTAATGGAAGGTGAAGAATGTCTTGCTGGTTAGAAGTGAATATTGAGGTTTTCAGTGGTGGTGAATAATGCATACGTTTTGTGGTATCAGCTGATTTTCTGTTTTAAATTTCCTGAGCACCTGTGATGGTTTCATTGGGATGAGACCCTTTGATCTGAAGGTCAGGTAGATGGAATTATAGGACATACATTGGCTTCTTGGTTCTTTAGGGCAGTGTCTCCAGGAGGGCTTTCCTGTCGAGGGGCATCACATAATTGTGTGAAGTAGGTATGAGGGAGCGTGTTTGTTGTCTGTAATTTCTTATACAGTCTGCATTTCTCAGACAGTCATACACCCCCATACACCCCTATTCTATCGTCTTAGAACTGTGTGGTTTACTGGACTCAGAACTTGAAGACCAGACCCTAAATCCAGAGAGCTAGTGACTTGGATGGAGAGGCTGGTAATACCCTTGAAGGGATTCACTAAACTTGTGCTACACTTGGTGCCTAGGCCCTTGTTAGGGTAAGCATTTTTAGGGCTGTTTATCCAACATTTTGATGCCTTTTTCCTCCCTAATTTGCAGCAAATCCAGCCATTCCTCCCTTGGAGGACTTGCCTTTGGGATAAAGTTTTGGTCCGTGGGTACAGAGAAATTCACTCCTAATGAAATAACCTTGGGCGTGACTCCAAGCCCACAATTGCTCACTGAGCACTGTGCCACCTCAGCCTTGGCCCACACGTGTTCGTGCAATCCAGTCCAGATTGGACCACTGACCCTGTCTGGAAGGAAGGGCTTTTTTTAAGAAGAAGAATTGTTTTTGGTAAACAGTATTGTGTAAAATTGCTTTTTTTATACCGATACAAGCATGTTTTGTGCATGAGTAGTATTTGTTTTGGTATTCCTGTTGATGTTAAATTACTGTGTGATATAAACAGTATGTGTTTTTATATATCATTGTGTAAATTTAATATAACATTATATGCTGTAATAAATGATTTGTTTTACTGCTGTTAAGTTTGTTATTTGGGCATAAAACCAGATGTTTACACCTATAACTCTTGTACTGATTATTGTGGGATTTATATTGGGCCCAGTCTAGCATTAGAATATTATTTGCAATAATTAAGGCAGGTTTTAGTACTTTTTTTTCAAATGGATGGTAGGAAGGAGGGAAAGCAAACCACTTCTTTAAAACATTTAAGGTACTTCTTTAAGATTTAAGGTAAATTTGATAGATGTGGTTTAAGGAAAATATTTCTTAGAATTCCCTCCAACTTTTTACTATAAAATATTTATAACATGGAAACATTGAAAGGATAGTACAATAAACACTTGCATAGAGACCACCTAAATTCAATAATTGCTAACATTATGCTGTTCTTGATTTAACTCTCTATATGTATTTATTAGGTTTAGCCATACTGCTGGTTTTGAAGATCAAAGACAGATTTTGGCCATCTTTCCTCACCACACAGCTGTACTATTTTAAAGTAAATTTCAGGCATGATATTTCATTTCTAAAAACTCAAGCATTTATTTCCTAAGAATGAAAGATTCTCTTATAAAACTACAATATGATCATACAAACATAAGGAAAATTGTCAGTAATTCCTAATACCAAATACTGTTTTTGTTTCAAGAATTTTTTTTAAATCTTCACCCAAGGATATGTTTTTTTATTGATTTTGAGAGAGAGAGAGAGAGAGAGAGAGAGAGAGAGAGAGAGAGAGAGAGAGAAACATCTATCAGTTGCCTCCCATACGCCCCCAGACTGGGGATTGCTCACCCAGACCAGAGATCAAACCTGCTAGGTGTGTGCCTGCACCAGGAATCAAACCTGCAATCTTTTTGGTGTACAGGAGGACGAACAAACCAACTGAGCCACCTGGCTGGGCTTGAGAATTTTTAATAGCCCCTTCTCCCTTTTCCCCAATGAGGATTCAGTCAATGTTATTCATTGTATTTGGTTGTAGATCTCTAGTCTTTTATTCTAGAACTAGAGGCCCAGAGCACTAGATTCGTGCACTGGTGAGGGGCATGGCCTGTGGGGATCAGCTACTGCGGGAGCAACCACTCATCCCGGCCAGCTGAGCGGGTGTGGACCCACCTACTGAGCGGCTGCTCCCGCGGTGGGAGCAGTTGCTCATCCTGGTCAGCTAAGCCGCACTCCCACTGTGGGAGCGCACTGACCACCAGGGGGCAGCTTTTGCGTTGAGCGTCTTCCCCCTGGTGGTCAGTGTGAGTCATATGACTGGTTGATCGGTAGTTCTGGTTGTTCCGCCCTTAGGTCGCTGGGCTTTTATTATATAGGATAGTCTTTTTAAAAAATGACATTGGGTTTTAAAGTCAGGACACTTATCTTGTAGAAGGTCCCACATTCTGGATTTGGTTGTTTCTTTATGTTGTCTTAACATCTAGTCCTTCTGTGTCCTGTAAATTGTGTAAAGCTTGATTGGATTCAGTTTAACCATTCTTAGCAAGAAGATTTTACTAATGATCTTGTACACTTATGTTGCTTTACATCAAAGAACATAATATCAGGTTGCCCTACTATTACTGAATTTAAGAGTGGTCCCTGCCCTGACGGGTGTGGTTCAGTTGGTTGGAGCGTCATCCTGTGCACCAAAGGGTTGAGGTTCAGTTCCAGTTGGGGCACATACCCAGGTTATAGGTTCAATCCCTGGTCAAGGCCCTTATAAGATGTTTCTCTTCCCACCCTCCAAAATCAATTTTTAAAAGAGGGAAAAAGACCTTTAAAAGAATAAGGATGATCCTTTGGCTAAATTGGTAAGTAGAGATTTCTTCACTATAAAGTTTGGTTTTCTTCCTCTTTGCAAATGTTTGGTATTTGTGGGTGATTATTTGGTGCTGTGTGGATACCCTATTTTTCACAAAGGGCTTTAGGTTATATTGCCGATCTTGCCTGAATCAGTTATTGCCTTACGAATGCAAAATGGTAGTTTTTCTAAGTATCTTTCCTACTTTTATTAACTGACATTCTACAAAAAAAAGAGAGCTTTTCTTGTTATATTTCTTTTCTTTTGAATATCACTATGGACTTATGGATTTTTGTTCATTTGATGTCTTATAATCACCTATAGTTATTGTTCTTTTTGATGCTCAACATGTCTGAAATTTGGCAGTAGGAGGACAAATTTTGTTAAAAGTAATCTGTAGATCAGCTCAATCTCATATTTCATATACTTATTATGATGTGTACTCAATTAAGATGAAATTTTCAAATGCAAATTTAAATACAATACAAATCTCTTAACTACCCATTTTTTAATTCTTCCCTGGAAAATTTCTTTTCCTATACTTTATAGAATCTCTTATCTCCAAGAAGGCTTTTACCTGTAGGACACCGCAAATTAGTTCCTTATTGCATATAAAGATAAGACTTTTTTTCCCAACAAGACATCCTTTTTTCAATTAGGCATCTTTTTACCAAGACAACTCAGTTCTTCAAAATATTGTAGAGTTGTGTTTTTTGAGTATTTATATGTTTTATATGCAATCAGTCATCCTGCTTCAACTAGAATTTCTTGGATTACCTGATTAAATCTAAGCCAAGTGCGAGTGAGGCATGATCTCACCATCTTTTCTAGTTCTGTGATCCAATCTCTTTGGGGGCAGGCTATAAAGTTTATTGTGTAAGGCAACTGTGACCTGCAGTCAGTTCTTGAATCATTTCCAAGTTGTTTCCAAAGAGCATTATTCTCAGAAGGGGAAGCTTTCTGAAAACCAGCTTCTGAATAATTACATTTTAGGTGACAGAATGCCAAATGAAGAGAAGCGTGAAAAACAGGATTTTTTTCAAAGAATGCAGGGTTTGTCCTTTTCTGTCTATTGCTTGACTTCCCGGTAGCTAACAGTTGTGCTGCACTTGGAAATTTGGGTTTTGTCCATTATTTTCAATGACAAATAGCTGCTATTATTCTTACAAACAAAAGAGCTCTTTAAAATATTTCCCTTTATTTAAATAAACTAGTTTAAATAAATTACAAATGCTCATTGTCAAAAAGAAAAAATATATCTGAACAATGCACAGGTGTTTAAACTCCTTTTGCTTCATCCTCCTTAAATTCTACTCTTCAATAAGTTTGGTGTATATATTTCCATACTCTGTTATATGCACATAAAAATATATGGCCTTTGCATTTTTTCCTTCAAAATGAAGACTCAATCTACATATATTCTGTAACTTGCTTTCTTCATTCCATGGACCTGTATACTGGGTATAATTCCCAATTCTCTTCAATGGGGTTCCAAGTCTTTCCTCCTTGAGAAAAAAGGTACCGAATTTTATGGGCTACTTACTTGCCTTGCTTACAAAAATTCTAATATTTAACAACAAAAGTGTTACCCAAGTGCTATACATTTGCACACATATTGCCTTTCCAGTTTTCTTACGTGTTTTGTTACTTTCTTTGTATTAAGAGTCCACTTTAAGTGGGATATTGTCAGAATCCTGTGAGGCTTGCCTAAGGATTTTGCCATACCGAGAAGCTACTTACTTGTTTCTGCCAGGTGCCTCAAGGGGATCTCCAGGTTGGACCCCCTTTTAAGTTAATTTATCTACTTTAGGTTTATCTGACCACAGAGGTAGTAGAAATTCAAATCCTAAACCCACACGAGGATAGGCTTTGGTTACATGTTTTCAGAGGAGATCGTTTCCAAGGCAGAAGAGCTTCCTTATTTTCATCCTGGGCCAGCAAGTGGATTTTTTTCCTGGACTAACCTTCCACTGAGGGTGTAGCCCTTCGGTGCTCTCGGCACTGTGGGAGTCTCGGTCCAGATCCTACCCTGTGAAGGCCAAGTCCTTGTCCCTGAGTGCCTGTTGACCTCAAAGCGCCTAGCTTAAGGGAGGAACCAGCAACCTCTCCTCCTACTCTCCAAGGGTGGGCCAAACTTGGATGCCTTTCTTTCCAGTGGAGTCAATGTACACTTAAGAGAACGTTTGCTAATAGTTTATCCACCATTCCTAACTATTTTACAGTGAGATGATTTATCTAGTTCACCATATGACTGGAAACAGACACCATACAGCTACCCATTGCCTTTGCCAGTAAACTGGATTCTCCTTTCCCCCTGGTATTTTTGGTACAATTTTATTGAGGTACAATAAAATGCACATATTTAAACTGTACAATTTGATCTGTTTTGACATGTATACACCTGTATAACCACCACAATCAAGATAACAAACATTTTCATCATTATCGAAAGTTTTCTTGAGACTCTTTGTAATCCATCTCTCCCTCTACTCCATTTCCCCCGTCCACCATGGATCTGCTTTCTGTCACTATAGATTATTTTGTATTTTCTATTATTCTGTTTAAATGGAATTAAACAGTGTGTGCTGTTTTTGCTTGAATTTTTTATTCTCCATATTGATGTTTAGGTTTGTCCATGTTGTTTAATGTCTCAAACGTTCATCTCTTTATTGCTGAGTAATATTCCTTTGTATAGATATATTACAATTTGTTTATCCTATTCACTTGTTGATGGCCATTTGGGTTATTTCCAGCTTGGGGCTATTACAAATAAAGCTGTGAAGAACCTTCACGCACAGGTCTTTGTTTCTCTTGGGTAAATTCTGAGGAGTGGAATGCCTTGGTCTGATGGTAGGTGTATGTTTAACTTTCTTTAGAAATTGTAAAAATATATCCCAAACTGGCTGTGCCATTTTACATTCCTACCAGCAGTGTATGAGAGTCTCAGTTGCTCCATGCCCTTGCTACCACTTGGCATACTCACACTTGTTAATTTTAGCCTATCTAACATTACTGGTGAGTAATGATGTTGAACATCTTTGCATGTGCTTATTGGCCATCTGTGTTTCATTTTTGGTGAAGTGTGTGTTCAAATAGTTTGTACTTCAAAAAAATTGGGTTTTGGGGCTTCTTATAAATGAATTGTGAGAGTTTCTTTCCTAAATTCCATGGAAGAGTCCTTTGATATATACTGTGAATATTTTCTCTCTGTGGCCTGCCTTTCACTGTCTTTTTAAAAATATATATTTTTTGATTGATTTCAGAGAGGAAGGGGG